ATACAATCTTTCATTTAGTATTAAATTATTTTGTTTTATATTTGGAACACAGTATTTTTCGATTCATTTAATTTTATTCTTATTTTCATATTTATATTGCAGATTTTTCTAGAAAAATTATTTAGATTGTTCGATCAAGATCGCGACGAATTATTGAAACAAGATGAATGGATCGAATTTATGAAGAGTAGATTAACGTAAGGAATCATTAATAATTATCCTAACAATAATTATAATTTTATATTTCACAATTTTTGTTCTATATTTATTCTTTTTATATTATTATTGTACAGAAATGAAAAGCAACAAGATTTCATCGATCAAATAGAAAGCGTTGCGTTTGTATTGTGTGCCGAAAAACCATTGAACTTTACCAGTTTTGTTCAATTATTTTGTGCGAAAGGGGTAAGAAAATAAAAACATTTTGAATACTTTAAACCAAGTGATATAAACTTTATAATTATTATTCAAAAAAAATATTAATTAATAACAATAATAATAATAATTAATTTCTTAGATAGTAGATAAACTGTTTCGATTGATCGATCAAGAAAATTCTGGATACGTAACTACAATTAAAATCATGGAATTTATAAACGACGTTAGTAATCCAAGGTAAAACCAAATTTTTAATTTTCGATTTAAAAACAATCAAATTTTTCGAATTATTTCGAATTATTTCGAATTCTAATTATTGTTTTTTATTTTCTGTTTGAATGAATTTGACAGACCACGTGGTGGCTTTGATAAACGTAGCTTGGAATGGTTGGAAAATATTTTTAAACAAACTGTTGGCAATCAAAAAGAAATACGTCGTGAGGAATTCAAAAATATTGTCACTTCGAAAAACGTAAGCATAAACCATTAACTATACTATAATATCATTGAATTAAATAACAAATTGACAAAAATTGATGCTTCATTTGTTCTATGGAAAATCATCCTTCCAAATGTTTCATTCTYACAAATAATMATTTTTCAATAATCTAAATAATAAATTTGTTTAAGTAATATAAACAAATACACTCTGGTAATAGTGTTGGTAATAATCTAAAATAATATTCTTTTTTAAATAAAATATTATACAATTAAAAAAAAATTACTAGCAGTAATAATAATAATAATAATAATTATAATAAAATAAATTAAAAATGTGGCCTTGTTACAATCAAAAACAAACTATTAAGATGAAACAAAAGTGTGTCACCAAAATTGCATTTACTTTTGAAATATTAATTTAAAACCCACGAACTTTTGGTTCACCGTAATAAAAATAAAAAAAATAATAACCCCCTATATGTAAAAAAAAATTGATTTTTAATTTGCAGCCATTTTTTACGGAACGTGTATTTCAAATATTCGACAAAGATAATTCGGGAACGATATCACTTCAAGAATTTATCGACGCCATGAACGAATTTGCTGGCAAATCTGCCGACGACAAAATCAAATTTCTTTTTCGAGTATACGATATCGATGGTTTGTTTTATTTTAAAAACAAATTTTTTTTTATAAATTTTCATATATATAAACACACTTATCAAAATTTTATAATTATTCGTTATCGTTTGTATATGAAATGATATTGTTTTTTTATTTATTATTATAAAAATAGACGATGGTTTTATACAATATCGAGAATTGGAACACGTAATGAGAGCTTGCATGGAAGAAAATGGAATGAAATTTAGCGATGAACAAATCGAAGAATTGACCATTGCACTTTTCGAAGATGCCGATACTTGCAATCGTGGTGCAATCACTCTCGAAGGATTAAAAAAACAATTGGAAAAACATGACGGTTTTTTAGAAAATTTATCAATTAGGTTTGTATGTAAAAGATTCTAATATCATAAACAAAAAAATTCATATATTTTCAGTATATTAAATTCAATTTAAGTTGAATATTAAATCACACGTGTTTGTATTGTTTCCAAATTTTTTAAATTATGTAATTAGAAACAAACAAAAAAATGTTCAAAAAGCAATTTTCTTGTTCATTAATCGATCATTCAAATTCAATTTAAGTTGAATATTAAATCACACGTGTTTGTATTGTTTCCAAATTTTTTAAATTATGTAATTAGAAACAAACAAAAAAATGTTCAAAAAGCAATTTTCTTGTTCATTAATCGATCATTCAAATTCAATTTAAGTTGAATATTAAATCACACGTGTTTGTGTTGTTTCCAAATTTTTTAAATTATGTAATTAGAAACAAACAAAAAAATGTTCAAAAAGCAATTTTCTTGTTTAATAATCAATCAAATCGTTAATATTAAAATTAAGCATAATTTTTCAGCATAGATCGTTGGTTGGTCCCACCTAAACCGAAAGATACAAAAAAACCAATATTCCATGGATTTTTGTCATCGTTGCAACCGCATCAATTGACGATGCCTTATATTAAAAATAATTACGTATACATAACGTTCATTTGTATTATATTAACAATTAATTTAATACTTTTCCTCACGAGAATCATTGAATATCGTCAAAACAACGTCTACGTAATTCTGGCACGTGCCTGCGGTAAACAAAAAATTAAATCATACGTTTTCTATATATTATTATTATTATATAAATTTTTTTATATTAACAATATCGAAGAAAGATAAGAGAAAAAATATTTATTTAAATAATAATAATTACAGGTCAATGTTTGAACTTCAATTGTACTTTCGTACTCGTTCTGATGTTACGCCAATGTATTACATTTTTACGAATCAATGGTTTCTCATCTATACTACCATTGGATCACCATATTTATCTTCACAAGATGACCGGAATTTTGATCATTATTTTCGGTTTAATTCACACTATCATGCATCTTTTAAATTTCGGTAAAATGTATATATTTATATATAATATACATACAAATATATTATACAAATTGTTTCATAAAATTCAACTATTTGATTTTTATTATCTTAGGTACAGTTGTTATAAACGATGACAAATTAAACAATTCCAATTACACCATGGCCGAATGGATATTTACAAGCAAACCAAAATTATTCGGATTGGTAGGAGGTTGTGCCAATCCAACTGGTATTGCCCTAATCATCATACTTCTTATAATGACCGTTTGTTCGTTGCCTTTTGTAAGAAGAGGTGGTTGTTTCGAGGTAAAAAACAAAAAAATAAATAAATAAAATAGAGAGAGGTAACCAGAGGGGAAGCAAATTCGTGCATTTTATTTTGTTGAAAGTTTACTTTTGTAATTGCATAAGAATTGATTGTTCTGTTTATTGTTTTTGTTATAAAAAAGTTACTTTTGAAAATGTTGACATATTGGTTCAGCTTAATAACATTCCAATGGTTCTAATAATTTATTAATACAAAAATTACAATAATTTTTTTGTCCACCAACAGATCTTTTATTGGTCTCACCTACTTTACGTACCATTCTGGATTTTAATGATATTCCATGGGCCGAATTTTTGGAAATGGTTTGTCGTTCCAGGCACCATTTATCTTTTCGAAAGAATAAGAAGACTCGTTTGGTCTCGTTCACAACGTGGAAAGACTTATATAAAATCCGGTCTCTTGTTACCTTCGAAGGTGACTCATTTGGTGATCAAACGACCACCCAATTTTGACTTTCATCCTGGTGATTACGTTTTCGTTAATATACCAGTAATAGCCCGTTACGAATGGCATCCATTTACCATAAGCAGTGCACCGGAACTAAAAGGTAATTTATCGAAATCCTTTCATACATTTTATAATTCGAATTTTCAACATTTAAATGATTTATTTTGTATCTTTCGTATATTCATCATTTTTGTTTTCTATTCATTTATTTTCACTTTTACTTTATCGATGTATTAATATTCGTGTTAGCAGCGAATAACAAAAGAAATAAAAATAGAAATTAGTTCAAGGTCAACCGAATATATATACCAATGAAATTTTGTATCATACATAATGAAAGAAATAATTTATATTACATAATATTATTTATAATGATATTCATCGACCTACTTACTCTCTTTGTATTTTATTCTCGACAGATTACATATGGCTTCACATAAGAGCCTTAGGTGAATGGACCAATACTTTATATTTATATTTCGAGAGGGAACATATGAAACTTCATCGAGGCGACGATTTATCCGTAGACGGTGCCAGTACTAACAACGTTAATCTTACGCGTAAAAAATCGTGAGTTTATTATAGCTGTTGGCCCCTTAAATATAGGCAACAATTTATACTCGGTCGGTAATGGAAGTTTCATCATTATCTCATTAAAAGAAATTATTCATATCCCCCCTACTGATAGGCAACACGCGTTATACACGCCGTGTATTGACGGGTTGCCTACTGTTAGGTGCATTTGTCCCGTGTATAAA